CTGTGCATCGGTGTGTGAATGTTTTTGAAAGGGTGAATGTGGCGCGTAGTGTAAAAGAGCTTTTAGTCATCGGAAGCGCTATACAGTACACGTCCATTTACCATTTACTTAGAACATCTGAAGGAGACTCGGGTGAGTGCTCTTCTGACACACAGTTCAACAAATATTTCAAAACAGACTTGCCACAGAAATTACAACTCAACATTTTGCCAACCTCGAGTTACGTTAACTTAAGAATGCTAATGTTCAATATTATTACACAATGTTAGACAAAGACAACTCCCTGGTTAACATTTAGCTAAATTAACGCGTTTTGTAGAGTTAAGGAAAACTAACATTAATCTTTTTCAGCGAGTGCAACACAAAACTGCAGAAAACAGTGCGTTAAATTTAACCTGACCTCATTTATCAGACCTATGTAAACTTAACATAACGTTATTACAAACCTTCAAGAAAGCTTTGTTTACTATCAGACTGGAACAAATTCTTAGACATGCAGACATCTCTTAAGAAGATAATTTTACTTACATGCTCTTGAGTCGCATTGTGCCATCACAAATTGATAGATAGAACTTCCGCTTGGTGAAATTACCACAACGTTTGAATTCCATGACTGTTATGTGTACTGTACTCTACTGCGCGTGTGTGCGTGTCTCTCACTCCGTCACTGGTTGGCGGGCCTCACAGGTTCAGCAGGTCCCCACTTTTGCTGCCACTGTGACTGGCCTGTGGCTATGCAGCTCCATACACAACAAACTGTGATGCAGATGAGCTCCTATAACTGAGACATAAGATCAAACATACCCAGGGAACTAATATCAATAGTGTGCTGATATTATTGCAAAAGAAATAATTAAAGTTATGCGCTGTTTGTTAATTTAGCGTAATTCTATGTATCTACTAAACTGATATACTGTTTTCAATTTTACAGTCTTTTACTGTAATTTTTACAAAAATTTCTTACAGTGTAGATTTTGGAGGTGGGTGTGGTTTACACTGCAGGTGAGAGAGGTGTGGGGAAGGCTTAGGAGTGCAGCGCCAGGTGAGTTGACGATCACAGCTGCTACTCACTGAGTAATCACTCTTAACTTATATTGCAGTAGTGTGCTGGACCTGGGTGGTGGAGAGACAACTGACAGCAAGAGACATGGCGTTATTGTGTGTTGTGTGTTGTGTGAGCGACGCTTTAAATTAAAGTTACACAGTGGACTTTTAAATTACACTGAAGTCAGCAATCTCATAGTTTAAGTATTTTCATTTGAAACTACTATAACTTAATTAAACTATGAACATTTATCTGCATATGAATGCAGATACATTCTAAAGACCCCTATTTCTACTGCCTGCAACATTTAAAAGCACTAAAAATCTGAATGATTTGATTCAACTTTATTGTCATTGTAAGTACAGGTACAAAACAAC